GTGAGGCCAAGGCCTCTAGGGAGGCAAGGCTGCTATAGGAGGTACCCTTGGCCCGGTGTGACTCCAGGATAGCTTCGAACACACAACTGAAAGAGTCGGGCCCATCCGCCGAGGGGCTGGTCCCAGGGAGGAAGGGAACTGGTGATTTGAGAGGCCCAGAGAGCAGCATGTGGTCCCCCGGTCTGCAGAGACAGGGAGAATGTCTGATCAGCTCCCCGGCACCCAGGCCTTGGCAGGATGTCACTGAACTCATGCCAGCTGATACAGGGCCTATCAACCCCTTTCCGTAGACCAAACCCCCCAAGAAAAAGCCACTAGGGGAGAGGGCCCCCGAAATTCAGTGTCTGCGGTGTCCCAGCCCTGCCCATCGCTGGCACCCAGCCCCCCTCCTTCCCCGCTCCCTACTAATCTCCCTTTCTCCCCCTTTCCCTGATCCCCTTCCCTCCTGCCATCCCTTTTCTATTTCTGGTAACATCTTAGGAGAAGATGTGGCTCCACACAGCAGTGGGGCGTGAGACAGAAAGGAAAAGCCCCCGCATCTCCACACTCTTGCCAGGACCGGGATCTAACCCGTGTCCCCGGTTTGGCCCCTGATAACCTAGAACCCCGCCTCGTCCATGTGGCTGCCCCGACTCCTAGGCTTGCCCAATGCCCACACATTCCTAATATTCTCCCGGGCCTCAGGCCTCTGCCTGGAATCTCCTCCCCATCCTGCCCATGCCGTCTTGGTCCTCACAGCCCTGTCTTCTCCTCTACCTCAGGTTCTGGCTGGAGTAGGCAGAACACAGGGAACAGCATGCTTTCCCTTCCCTGACCCACTCACCGGGGCCCCTCGGAGGCCTCGAACACCTCATCATCCACATCCTCTTCACCACCGGCCTCGTCATCTTCATTGCCACTGCCCAAGCTGGAAGGAGGGCCAGGGCATGGGCTGGGTCGTGAGGCAGGTGGCCGGGCAGTGGCAGCAGGGCCCTCGGAGCTGGGCTGACTCTCAATGGCGGAGTCAGCCTCCTCCCGCTCAGCCAGCACCTCATCGATGTCAGTCTCTCGGTAGCACCTCAGGGGCACCGTGTCCAGGTCCGTCTCAGAGTACTTGGCTGCTCGCCCCACAGCCACCCCAGAGCCTTGCTTGGAACCCACCTCACGGGATGGGAGGGCTTGCTCTGGGGGCTTAGCACCTGTGTGCACAGACAGCCAGGTCAGGAAGTCATTTGTGTCGGGTAGACGGCCTCACATAGGCTGGAGACTCTTTCATCATCCTACCACTACAGATCTGCCACACCCTTCACTTGATCCAAATGCCTGGGAATAACTATGAGGGAGACCAGACTTTCTTTTACTCTTAGAAATAACCCTCGATATCCGGCCATCCCCCCCCCCACCACCACCCAGATTCCTCTAGAACCCAGCCCAATCCTCATGGCGTAGATGAAAGCCTGGAGCCCAGAGAGACTTTGGCTGACTGGGGAGCCCAAGGAAGCCCTGAAGAAGGTTTGAAGGATGCCTCTTTGCCAGTCCTCATTGGTGTGGAGAAGGCCCTACCCACTTCCCCTAGGCTAAGTCCAAGCCTTACCTGAGCTGGGGGCGTCCAAGGAGCCATAGAAGAATTCCCATTTGGCTCGAGCGATTCTCTGAGCGTGAGAGGAGACTTCCCGGGTGGAGGACCAGGTGTCCCCCTGAGCCAAAGAGGAAGTGAAAGGCACAGGACCCCAAAATGAAAGCCAGACATACAAGGACACAGAATATGGAGCAGCAGAAAGAAAACCACATGGGACAGGATGAAGGTGCGGGAACACAGCGACAGAGGGCGAGAAAGCTGATTTAGGACATTAAAGGATTTGGGTGAATATGAGACAAGCCTCAGTCCAACAGGGGCTGAGCTTTGTCCCTTTTCTGGGGTGCTAAGGCCCCAGAGAGCCCAAGGCAGATTGCATACCTGGTTTAGGAATCCAGTGTCTGCAGGTCCTCGGAAATGCATGGCCAGGTGCTCAGGGGTCCCCCCCAGCCCATTGGGGAGGGAGGAGTAAAGACCATCTGCCCCAATCTGGGGTGGTACCAATGGCCCACGTGAGGGGTCCCGGCTACCAGGAAGAGCAGAGCCTCCTCCAGCTGGGAGTGGGTCTGATGTGGATGCCTCCAGCCGCAACTTCCGGTTGCAGCCAGGTCCAAGGGCTGGGGCGGGCCTGGGAGGAGAAACCCCACCCAGGTCCCAGCTCCGACTCAGGCCTCCAGAAGCAGGTAGGCCATTCAATGGCCTCACACTGGCCTTCTCCACAAAACGGAAGATGACCACAGAACTCTGTGCCCCTGGTGGGGGCTGCCCAGTGGGTGAAGAGGGTCCCCAGCGTGAGGGAGCCATACGGGGTGATGGGGGGCCTCGCAGAGGGGTACAAGGTGCCGTCACGCGTCCCAGATCCCGGCCTCGAGGACCTGGGCCCACCACTCGTCGTATTAGGGATCCTGTGCTGCCATACATGCTGGCTGGGGGACTTTGGGGCACTGGGCCTTCGGGGAGCCAGCGACGGGGGCATCGTGGTGGGGAGATGGCACAGTCTCCTTCTGAGCAGAAGCGCATGGCACCCTGGGCCATGCTGGGGCCGGGGGTCAGGCTGGGGGGGCAGGGATGGCGAGGCCAGGCAGGGAGTGAGGGGGCTGCATGCTCTTCAGACAGGCCTGCAAGAGAGGAAGGAGAGCATGGGTGCCGTGTACAGGAGCCAGACAGGCAGGGCAGCTCAGACAGAGAGGGCAAAGTGGGTTGGGACTACTCAGGTCCAGGACCTAGCCAGGCCTGGAAATATGGGCTCACCCGTCCTAACCCTGATGGCTCCTTTCATGGAAACCTTAGGAGAAAAGGACCACCCACTCAGTGGGCCTTCAGTTCCTCTCCTGTCCGGGAGCCCTGAGCATCACTTTAGGAAGAAAGAGCAAGCTAATTCAGAAGTTCACTGAGTTCAGTTCTGGGGCAGTTGGGAACTCCTTCTTGTGTGGAGGCTGGTATCCTATCTTCTGGATCATACGGGGCTGCAAGCCACAGGAAAATGTAGTGGAATCCAGCTACTATGACACCCATTAATACAGCCCTGGGTCCTCTATAATCCCACTTAGGAAGGGAAACATCGGGCTTCTTGGAAGGAGAGAGAGGGGTCACACAGGGACGAGGAAGTGTGGAGAGACACAGGGAAGAGGTGAGAAGAAAAGCTTGAAAAGAGGCCCTTAACTTCAGTCCATAGGCGCTGAGTGGGGAAGAGACACCCTTTTCCCATATCACACATGCACGCATACACACACACACACACACACACACACACACACACACACACACACACACACACGAATTCATATACACACATGCAGGAGGACAGACAGGAGTACACAGTTAACGCATTCCTAGGCAACACCCTCCAGTACACAGGCACACGCAGCCCTGCTCAGAGACACACCCTCATACACTCACAGTCATAACAAATATGTGTATAATGGAAAAGCACATGCTGGCTTTACACACAGATCACCAAACAGGAACACACAAAGAGGGACCCAAATATACAGACAGCCTCTCATCTTCTGATGCACACACAGACAGGTGTACCAGACAGAGACCTCCTCGTCACAATCATAAACACAGATGCACATTTGCACACATAATCAGACATACACATCCTCTCCTCCCCCCACCAGGGACCAGGTCTCGGCGAGGGGCTTGCACCACAGCCCTCCCCCCCAACTCCAGGGGTATGACATGTCTTGTCCAGTCCAGGAGGGGCCATAAAGGAAAACCGGGCCTCTGGTGGCAAAGCACCCGTAGGGAAAGCTGTCAGAAGCTGCAACCTTGCCAGACAGGTTCTTGAGGCTCCACGGGCCTGGGCCTCCCCTGTGCAGCCCCCCCTCCTCCGAGGCACCCCAGTACTCACCGCTGCGTTCGGAGCTGGAACGGAAGAGAGGCAGAGAGGCCGGCCCCGCTCAGCTGTGAAAGCAGAACGGCTCCCGCTTGCTCCAGGCCCGCCCGCCTCCCAGTCCCTCCTCCACCCCTCCCCACGCTCTGCTCAAGCAACGCTAATCCCCCCCACCTCCCTTCTTTCCCAGGGCCCTGAGTCCCAAGGAATGCCACCCCCCCAGTCACTCCTCAGACTCACACCAGAGGAAGGGGAGAGTGCAGAGAACCCCGGGTTCTGTTCCTTAAACCCTCAGATGCCCCACCCCACTCGTGTTCATTTCTCTCTCGTCCATCGTCTCCTGAACCACACAGGGTCCAGCTGCACACGCCTGTCCTGCTCCAGACCCCACGCGTGTCCCCAGGAGGCTGCCACATGACCTGTTACATGCCACACGCGCTCCCGCCCCCACAAGCACGCGGCCACGCAAACCACACGGTACAGGAGTAGACCGGACCCGCCCCCTAAAACCAGAAGACCAACTACGGAAGGGGCATCAAGCGAACGCAGGCTTACACACTTCGGGGTTCCCAACCTCAGCCCCCCCCCCCCGAGTCCTGTCCTGACCACCCACCCGGAGTGCAGAGGAAGGATAAGTCAGACTCCAGGAAGAACTTCCTGGCGGCCTAGGTTAATCGTCCCGCCTTTTCAGGAGCAAGAGTTTAGAGGGGGTGACCCAAAGACTGGGAAGAGAAGCACAAGCAAACCTTGTGCCCTTGCCCAGGGTGGAAGAGGGTCTGGCTATTTTAGGAAAACGCCACATGAGTTACTATGGCAACTATTCTCCTTTGGAAGGCCAGGGCCGACAGGTTATGACCTCGGGAGGAAGAGAGGGTCGGTTCGGGTGGTCAGAGGGTGCGGGGACGTTCGAGGCGGGGGTGCGCGGGGCTCACCGCGGGGAGGGGTGGCGCGGGTTCCGGGAGGTGCTGAAGGGACAGCGCCAGATTTGTCGTAATGCGCAAGCGCAGAGGCGCGAACAAAGGGGCGGGGGAGGAGGCGCGCGGCCGGAGGTGGTACGCGCCCACATGTGTCTTTGCAGAGATCCTTCCAGGCTACCCCTTCCCCAAGCAGGCTGAGGAGGAGAGGAAGCAACCCCCTCGCCCATCTTCACCCTCTTCTGCTCTTTCCGGTGCTGGCTGGCTTCTCCCTCCATGCTACACTGAGTAATGAGGTAGTGTGGAAGGGATTCTGGGAAAACCAGGATGTCTGGGTCCTTTATCTGTGCTCCGTTTGCTCCTGGCTAAGGAGCTTCCTCCCCTGAGCCTCGGTTTGCCCATCTTTAAAATGGACGGACCTGCCTGCATGTGCAAAGGTGCCCAAAGCCCTGGTGAGATAACGGACGGGAAGCAGCTTTATGAAGAAGCGGCTGAAATGTTTGCACAGGGGTGCGCAACCGTGTCGAATGCAACGGCCCTACGGTCTTTCACATGCCCCACACCACCTTGGATGGTGGAGGAGACTGTGACGCCAGGGGTTCCCCAGAGTGGGACTGGGGATTAGTATATGGGGCACAGTGAAAGGGAAGCCTGATGACTGAGCTGCGAGCTTTGGGCGTCACTCTCAGGGCCAGTCAGGAAGCAGTGCGGCCAGGAGGCTGCGCGGAGCACGCCGTCCTCCCCAGCTGGCCCCGTACAGTCCTCCTCCCTTAGGCAAAACGCCGGCCCACGCTGTCCTGAAGTGCAAAGGGATGGATGTCACGAGTGTGCACTGCACAGTTCACAAGCAATGGCAGGTCTGAACAAGGTTGCTTGATAAGAAAAGCCTTAGCGCCGCCCATTTAATGTATGCTTTTGGCCATTGCTTATTGAGCACCTGCTGCATACCAGTTAGAGCCTGGGCAGTCCCCGCCGCTCCCCGCCCCCTTTTTTCAAAGTCGCCTAAAGGCGACCAGAGGACAGAGGGAGGCTCTCGGTAACCTAGGAGTCCTGGCTCCGCCCCTCCTGCCTCTGGCCTGGTCCGCTCCTCCCATCACCGCTCAGAGGCGGCTGCTGGCCCGCGACGGAGAGCGGAAGCACAGCCTCGGGCTTCAAGCCCTGTAGCTGAGAAGACATCCGATGGTGCATCCCTGGTCTGTTCTGCCCCCGTTTCGGGGTCCATCCGGAAAGCTTTCCGATAAGGATCCTCAGTGAGACCGCACTCGATTAAATCGGTCTGTCTTCAGACCAAGGAGGCGGGATCGCCGCGGCCGCTGCAAGGCCACAGCGAGAAGAGCGTCCTGCGCACGCGCAGTAGGCAGCGATGGAGCCACCGATGGAGCAGTCCGGAGGGGAGCAAGAACCGGGAGCTGTCAGGTACCGAGCACTGGAGGGGCCGAGGGAGGGAAAAAAGAGACCCGCGGGAGGGCAGCTGAGTCCCGGCCGGACCCGGACCCCTCTTGCCAGCGGGGACGCTGGGGTATAACCGACGGACTCGCACGTAACCGCGGCCCGGGGACGTCAGCGCCCTTTCCTCCCAGGCTCCTGGACCTGCCCTGGGAAGACGTGCTGCTCCCGCACGTCCTCAACTGGGTCCCGCTGCGCCAGCTGCTCCGGCTGCAGCGCGTCAGCCGCGCCTTCCGGGCGCTCGTTCAGCTGCACCTGGCCGGGCTGCGCCGCTTCGACGCCGCTCAGGTGAGCCGGGGCCCGGAGCCCC